TTTTGACATATACCTACAATCTATCACTTGAGAGACAGAAGCAAGAGGAACGAAGGGTCTTGGCTAGCCTGGCCTTAGCAATGCCAGGCCAGACAGGGCTATCTATTGAGACCTGGTCTCCAAAAACAAAAGGTTCTTTTGGGAGTCTACAGTTCAGCGGAAAGCACTTGCTTGTCTGCCTAGCCTGGGTGAGGCCCTAAGTTCAATCCCTAACACTTTGCAAACAAAACAAGTCTTTGGGAGTGATGCCATTCACACACAAAGTCCAAGAGGACAGCCTTCCTCACTGGGGCTCCAACTTTGGAATATACCAGCTCTTCCATTATTAGCCTTGCCTCCTTAGCCTCAATTTGTCTCTTAGCAACAATCCTGGGACTTACTACCTTGTTCTGTCCCTCCTTCACAAGTTTGCTGACCTCTGGTCTAAGAAGCATCATACCTTGGCCATTTCTTTGAATTTCATTTTCTCTATGAAGAACTCCCCCCATGTAAATTTTATAAGCTTTTCTGTGAACTGTCTCACACATTAATTAGGTTCTTAGACCCAGTTCAAGCCCACAAAAGATGTGGGCCCTTGATGGGATTTTTTTTTGTTTTTGCTTATTTCAAGTTTTTCACTTATTCCTAACCCCCACGTTTTGCTAGAGTAGAAATTACATCTAAGGGTTTTATTAGACTCAAGTTCAATCTTTGAAGCAAGAATATTATCCTAGGTGATATTTCCATTCTCTTTTGAACCCATTCCTATCTGGCTTTCCTTCACTCTTCCCAGCTTTCAGTCAGGGTCTCACTATATGTCTTTAATATGCTTCTGCCTCCCGAGTACTGGGATTAAAGGCATGAGCCACCACAGCAGGCCCCCAATTATTTTCTTAAAATCATCTCTCCTTACATGCCTAATAGGCATAACTTCAACATGTCCAACAGCAGGCAGTATTTATATATTTGTGCATACATACATATAAATGCATATGTATTTAATAATAATATAAGGCTATCAACTGGGGGGGGGGTTCAGGAGGGTTTGGAAGGATGATACCTAAGAACTGGAGGGAGGAAAGGGAAGGGAAAATGAGGTAATTCTATTTTAATTTAAAATTATTTTTTGTTTTTGTTTTTTTGAGACAGGGTTTTTCTGTGAAACCGTCCTGGCTATCCTGAAACTCATTCTGGAGACTAGGGTGGCCTTGAATTCAGAGAACCACCTGCCTCTGCCTCCCAAATGCTGGGATTAAAGGCATGTGCCACCACCACCTGGCCAAAAAGGAAAAACATGTCCAAAATTGAACTCTTAATTTTAAAATACCCTTTCCTAAAACTATTGTCTGCTACAATATTCACTCTGTATTTCAGTTGTGTTCAGACCACAAAAAAAGTCTCTAGGCCTTTTCTATTTCCTGAAAACTCTGTAGATAGGTAATTCTCTCTCTCCAAACAGGCCCAGTTCCTTTTTTCTTCTTCAAATATGTACTATTCACCTCAGATGAGAAGAAACAAAAACCGGCAACTATTTTGTTCAGCTTTTGCCCCTCACATTTCTTCAGAATCACAAAAACGACAAATTTGGAAGAGAGCTGGACATGGAGGCAGACTTTAATCTTCTAGCCCCAATACCACCTTTTATAAAACCAGGTTCAAATGCACTGGGTACACAGGCCACACTGATCCTGAAAAATTATAAAATAAAACTTCTAGGGGCCAGGAAGACAGCTCAACGACTGAAATGTTTGCTGAGCAATACTAACAACATTGACTGTGATCTCTGGAACCAATATAATGGTGGAAGGAGAGCTAAACTCCACAACACTATCCTCTGATCTCCACACACACAAGCCCGAGTATGTGAACCACAAGCATGCCGGAGCCTGTGGAGATCAGATGCCCTGGAGCTGGAGTTGCAGAGGGTTGTGAGCCTCCATGCCAGGAACTGAACCCAAGTCCTCTACAAGAACAGTAAGCACTCTTAGCTGTTGAGACATCTCTCCAGACCCACTTCAACTTACTTGGAAAAGTACTTACAATAATGAAAGGTCTTTACTTACTTGTTTTGGTACTGGCCTTTTCTGAAGCGAGGTCTTGCGACACCTCATGTATATTAACAAGCTCTTTCCCTTCCAGTGGAATGTTGGCATCTCTCAAGCCCAAGTACCTGTTTCGTTCATACACCTTGTATCTGTTTTCCTTCTGAGATATTGACTTCCTGTGAGCAATGCTAGTTCGAATCATTTCAGTGCTTAAATCTTTCCGAAGCCGACTGGCAAATTGGGATAAAGGCATCCTGTTAAAAAAGAAAAATAAACACCAACTTAAATGGATTTTCATTTTATTATTTAAAAAATTAAAATCTGCCGGGCGGTGGTGGCGCACCCCTTTAATCCCAGCACTCGGGAGTCGGAGACAGACAGATCTCTTTGAGTTCGAGGCCAGCCTGGTCATATATATATGTATATATGTATATATACATATATACATATATATATATATGAATTAATTAAAATCTGAGACTAGGCTGTGGTGGCTGGCTCACCCTTGGAATTTTATCACTTGGGAGGCTCAAGCAAGCATATCATTGTGAGTTTGTGAACAGTCTAGGCTAAAGAGTAGGAGCCTGTCCCAAAGACCAAAATAAATAAAAAACAATTAAGATTTCAGTCCATCTCTTATATCACTGTGCGCTCCCTTGAAATGAAAATATTAAAACACACAACCAAATAAAAATGAGTAAATATAGAAGTAGAAAGTATTCAAAAACAAGATACCAGGACCTATTTGGGGTTTCCCAGGAGGAAGCTACTCAACAGATAAAAATGAAGCCGAGAACAACTGTAATCTAGCATAGAGACAAGAGGTACCATGTAAAGTAGCAACAGAAAAAGTAAGGAACTATGTTGCAGAACAACTTTCTTAACCTTCCTCTGTGATGAATAAAAGAACCTCTGCCTTTCTTCTCAATTCAAAAAGCAAAAATAGTCTGAGGAGAGGGCTCAGTCCATTAAGTACCTGTCACTCAACCACAAACACCTTAGCTCCTCTCTAAACACAAGGGGTGGGCACAGTGGCACACGTCTGTAATTCCAGTCCTTATCTGAGCAGAGACAGGCACTTAACCGAAGCTCTTATGCCAGTCAGCCTAACTGAATTAATGAGCTCCAGCTTTGATGAGAAACTCTGTCTCAAGAAACATGGAAAGAGAGCTTTTAGTTAGGATTTCTATTGTTGCAACAAAACGCCCAGACCAAAAAGCAAGTTGGGGAGGAAAGGGTTTATTCAGCTTACACTTCCAGATCATAGTGCTTGACTGGAGGAAGTCAGAACTCAAGCAGGACAGAAAGCTGAAGGTAGGAGCTGATGCAGAGACCATGGAGGGGTGCTGCTTAATAGCTTGCTCCCAATAGCTTGCTCCCTATAGCTTGCTCAGCCTTTCTTATAAAACCCAGGACCAACAGCCCAGGGACAGCTCCACCCAAAATGGCTGGGCCCTCACCAATCACAAATTAAGAAAATATCCTACAGCTGGATCTTATGGAGGCATTTTCTCAATTGAGGTTCCCTCTCAGATAACTCTAGTTTGTGTGTCAAATTGACATAAGACCAGCCATACCCCAAAACAGCCGGTGGTGGTGGTGCATGCCTTTAATCCCAGCACTTGGGAGACAGAGGCAGATGGATCTCTGTGAGTTCAAGGCCAGCCTAGTCTACAAAAGCTAGTTCCAGGATAGCCTCCAAAGCCACAGAGAAACCCTGTCTCAAAAAACAAAAAAGACTAGCAGGACAACTGACTCCTTGTCAGTTTGACAAGCATATCACTATTAAATCATAACCTTTCCTTTCTTATTCATCTCCAATATCTCACATTAAAAACATAAATAACTTTAAGAGGCCAGAGTCTTGCCAGGTGGTGGTGGCTCATGCCTTTAATCCCAGCACACAGTAGGCAGAGGCAGGTGTAAATTCAAGCTACACAGAGAAACCCTGTCTCAAAAACCCAAACCTAACCAAAACAAGAACAAAAAGTCCATAGTCTTTACAAATCCAAACACATTCAAATTTCAGTCTCTTTAAAATATGCAATCTCTTTACAAATCCAAAATCTCTTTTAAAAGTTCAAAGAATTGAAATGTAAAAAGTAAATTAATAAAAAATATTGAAAAAATGTTCAAAGAATTTCAGCTGTGGACTCTTGTAAAAATAAAAATTAAATGCTTTCTTACTTCAAGAGGGAAGAACCTGTCACAATCACAGTCACAATCAAACCAAAGCAAAACCAAACTCCAAGTGTAAACAACACAATGTCCAACGTCTGGGATTCACTCGCGATCTTCTAGGCTCTTCCAAGGGTCTTGGCTGACTTCTTAAGCTCTGTCTTCTGCAGCATACAAAGCTTGTCTTCCAAGCTCTGGCTAGCTCCACTCTACTGCTGCTGCTGTTCTTCGTGGTCCTATGGTACTGGCATCTCTAAAGTTCTGGGGTCTTGTGCTGCAACTGGGCTTCACCGTCACCAATAACCTCTCATAGGCTCTCTTAAGTTTTCCTCATGACTCCTTCGATCCTGGGTTTTCAACAGATGTTGAGGCTGCACCTTCACCTATGGACCGATGGCCTCTCCTGGCCTGTCACAGTGCCAAACCTCAGCGGCTCTCCACGACCCCTACAAGCCTTCAAAACCAGAGGCCTAAAGTGGGGTGCTGGGAAGTGAACCTCTGCAAGATCAGCAAGTGCTCCAACGCTGAGCCATCTCTCTAGATCATCTAAAGTTCTTTTTGTAGCCCAGGCCATTCTCAAACTGGCATGCATCCAAGGCGGACCCTGAACTCTCGGTCCTACTTACCTGAAGCAGCTTCTGGCCACGTTCCCGCACGCTCCCGCCACAGAGAAACCTCCGCTGATCCGCAGAAGGAACCCCTAAAGCCGCCCTGAACTGAAACTTCCCGCGGCCGACCACTGATTGGAGGGACATTTGCCAACACTTCCGGAAGTCCCGCCCCTTCCCCTCGGACTAGGCTTACGATAGGTTGGTTCTGTGCGACTTTTGAATTGTTTGGAAGGAGTGCGATGAGGGCTGCTGTAAACAGGCTGACCGCCGGTGAGCATCAGGCTGGGTGGAGCGGACGGGAGGGGTGAGGACGGCGGGAGGAATTTTCTTCTCGCCTCTCCAGGTTGTTTTTTTTTTTCCTCATTTCCTTTCATTTTAAGAGATTTTTTTTTCTTTCTTTTTTGGTGTTTTTCTATTTTTTGAGACAGGATCTCACCATGTCGTTCTGGCCGTCCTGGAACTCATTATATAGACCAGGCTGGCCTCAAACTCACAGAGATCTATCTGCCCGCCTGTCTCTGAATGCTGCGATTAAAGGCGTGAGCAACCACGCTTCAGAAAGAAAAGTTTTAATAAGGTTAACTGAGATAATTTATTCTATTTCTGCTTCCAGCTGACGTAAAATTAAGGAGCTGCCATTGAGGTCAACTTAGAAACAACAACACACATATAAACCAACATGGGCTAAACTCTTAAGATAACAAGGAAACAAAAATCCTGGGCCGGTGCAGCTATGCTGACCTTGTGTTTATAGGGTGGCCTATAGACACTGGATGATACATTAGGAAAGCATCTATGAGAGTTCGGCTTTTGCTTTTCTCTGCCAACCACTTGGTACAGATTATGTCTGTTCCTGTAGCTGCAATGAGTCCTCTAGGACACACGAAGAGAAAAATGAAAATAGATAATTGACATAATATTTCTTATTTAAAAATGCTGAGACTGGGGTCTGGAGAGTTGGATTCGCAGTTGGAAATGCTTTCATGCTCTTACAGTGGACCCAGGTTCATCCCCAGCAGCCACATGGTGGCTAACAACCAACTGTAACTCCAATTCCAGAGTATCTGTCACCTTTTTCTGACCTCTGGGGGCATATATGGGATGCATATATATATGCAGGCAAAACACTCATGCAGAAAATCAAATCTTAAAACATTTAATAAATCAATTTTGTTTTGTTTTTAGAGGAAAATGCTGAGCCCAGACTTGCTATGGTGGTACAGAATTTTAATCCTGTATTCTGGAGGTCTGGGAGTTCCAGGCCAGCCTGGTCTTCATAGTGAGTTCCAGGCAAGTCAAGGCTACATAGTAAGATCCTATCTCAATTAGAACACAACTATTGGCCAGGTGGTGGTGGTGCACGTCCTTAATCCCAGCACTCGGGAGGCAGAGGCAGGTGGATCTCAGTGAGTTGGAGGCCAGCCTGGTCTATAGAATGAGTTCCCGACAGACAGGGAGGGCTGTTACACAGAAAAACCCTGTCTCAAAAAATCAAAACAAAAACCTAACTGTTAGGAACATAAGTGAAACTATTTTGTGTGATTTGGAATAATGTTAATACCTATTAGACATGAGCTTGCCAGCAGGTAGCTCTGATCAGAGCTGGACCTCAGAACCTAATGTATGTTAGTAAACCCAGCCACTTTGTAACTCAGGTAGGAGCCAAACCCAAGGCAGGCCTAGGTATGCTAATAGGCCTAGATATGCTAATGACCTAACCACAAGGTGGCCTTGATGTGTTAGTGAACCATCTCCAATATTTGAGCCCCAAAGCCCAAAGTTACAGCTCAATGAAGTGATACAAAAACTGGATCTCCGGAAATGGTCTCTAGGATCTCACCGCCATACTCCTGAGACAGGGCTTCTCAATCCTCTGCATTGATACCCCTGGGTGAGATGACTAGAGATTAGAACCTGAATGTGGCCCTGGTGTCAGTGGCTGTTGAACTTCCACTTCGGGCACAGTCCCTGGGCTCACACTTGCCTGCCTGTCAATGCTATCCATGGGCCTCTACTCTCAGTGGTCTGCTGGACCTCCACTGGTACCATCCTCCCAGCCTGTCAATGCTGAAAGACTTCACAGCTGACATGGGTCAAGCCAGCAAACCTCCCAAAGCATCCTCAGCAGAGAAGATTCCCCAGAGGAAGCCTGCAGCACTTCCTGCCCATGTTCTCCACTTGGTGAGGTGTCTGCTTAACTTTTATATTAGGATGGTATTATAAGGAATGTTTGTGTGAACAAAATGAGCCTATTTGAAAGACAAATTTCGTGTGGACATACTTATTGCCAACCGCCTCACAGCCCACAGGCAGTGCTCTCTGCAGAAACAAAACAGATTTTGTCTTTAGAATGTTGACATGGGGAGTAGCTGGAGAGATGGCTCAGTGGACAGGAGCACTTGCTGCTACTGCAGAGGACTGGAGTTTAGCCAGAACCCATGTCAGACAGCCTGTGTAACACCAGTACAGGGGATGCAATACCTTCTTCTGGCCTCCATAGACACCCAGACAAATGTGTACATATCTACACAGACATACACACATACACATAATTAATAATGAAGTAAGAATTTCAAAATGGATAGTGACCTTACTCCTCTCAGGTTACTATTAGTTATTGGAAAGTGTCAGAGGAGGGAGAGAGTCACTGTCTTTCTTTGGTACCCACTGGTGAGTACACCATGGATGACCCTGGTTATACTTAAGAAAGGGGATGTCACAAAACAAAACAGAAAGACCCAAACACATGAAAGAGATTTGTAGGGACAATATCAAGGGAGAACATTCATTCGTTAAAACCTTTAATCAGTATCTCTTGACAGTGAAATACAGGTGAGGAAGAAAATAAAACAAGGTGTAAGAGGATAGACCAAAACTCCTGCTTACAGGTGTCTTAGTTATGGTTCTATTGCTATGACCAAGGTAACTCATAAATGAAAGCATTTAATTGGAACTGGCTTACAGTTCCAGAGGTTAGTCCATTATCATCATGGCAGGGAAGAGAAGCATGGTGGCACACATGGTGCTGGAGCACTGGCTGAAAGCTTTACAGGCAAAAAGAGAGAGACTCTGCTTACTACTGGCTTGCTCCTTCTGGCTCACTTTGTTCACTTCCTTACACATCCCAGGACTGCCTGCCCATGAATGGCACTGACCACAGGAGTTAGACTCTCCCACACTAAGGAAATGTCCTTCAGACTTGCCTATAGGCAATCTGATGGAGGATTTTTCTCAACTGAAGTTTCCCTTTTCAGATAATTCTTACTTCTGAGAAGTTGATAAAAACAAATAAATAATAACAAAACAACAACCAGGACAGAAACTTTACATATATCTATTTTTTTATGTCATTGCAAACATAGCTGGAGATATAGCTCATTTGGTATAGCTTTTTCCTGGTGTGTATAAGACCACAGATTTAATTCTTAGCAAACCCAAAGAAAAAAAAGTGTAGAAAAAGTTGGACCCACTAAAATTTCAAACTAAGTGTTTATTTATTTAATGTGTATGGGTATTTTGCCTGCATGTGCATGCTAAGTACTCTCAGAGGCCAGAAGACGGTGTCAGATCCCCTTGAACTGGAGTTACAGATAAATGACTCATCATTTGGGTCCTGGGAATTGAATCCAGGTTCCTCTGCAAAATCAGTGAGTGGTCCTAATTGCTGGGTCATCTCTCTAGTCCTTGAAATTACCAATTAAGAGGATAGAAACCATTTCAAATATATAAATAAATAAAGACAGTAACTATAAATGCTAGTAAACTAGCAATTTGATGGTAGATTTTGTTTAAATATCTAGAATTTGCCGTTTACAAGATATAGTCTCAAAACCCAAGGATGTAAAGAGTCTGTAAAACGATAGTATATATAACTGCAGACAAATAACAAAAGGAACCTGGGAAGGAGTGCACAGAGGTCTTGGCTGTCATCATAGCTAAAAGAGGAGGCTAAGGCAGGGAGGTCTTGAATTTGAGGCCAACCTGAGCTAGGAAACATTATCTCAAATGAAACAGACAAACAAAATCTTTGTTAGAGATTAAAGGGGTCTTGGTACAATGATAAAAGTTCTAGTTTGTCCACCATAAAAAAAGTTCATGCTGGTGAGATGGTTCAGTGAACAAAGATGCCTGTTGCCAAGCCTAACGGTAGGAGTTTGATCCCTGAGTCCTGCATGGTAGGGAAGAACTGACTCTGAAGTTGTCTTCTGCTGGGGTCTCTGCAACCTTCAAGGCAGCAGAGAGATGAATGTTTAGAGGCAAAAATGCAATTCAGAGCAAAATGACTCAATAGCCAATGTTGGTTCAAACTTTGGGCATTGTTTATTTTAGGTTTATTTAAATACAACACAATCTGGTAAAAAAAATTATTCTTGTGATGATTAATTCAATCCCATGGGCACACCAAAGCATACCCAAATATTGTTAAGGAACAAAGTAAGCTGTATACTGATCACACGTGACTACATCAAAACTTCGTAAAGGGTATGTGACACCTTCCATAAAGATAGACATAAGGATAGATTATACAGAAGCAAGTTTACCAGGTGGGTCTGGAGGATGGTTCCACTGGAGAAAGTCTTCAGCCACACCTATTTCACAACAGTCACCAGGCTATAAAGTACATCAGCTCCAGCCTTCCAAGCAGAAGACAGATTTTTGAGTCCGTCCTTTGAAGGAAAAACCCTGTGTGCTTAACATTGCAAATTCCCCCGTGCATGTCTGTGAGCATGAAGACCTCCAAGCTCCCTACAGTTAGTTCTCAGACTTCCATATATGTACCAGTGTTAGTATTCAGGAATGTACACTGGCCTGCCCTTGGGGCCCCGACAGGATACACCCTCAGCTGCAGCCACTAAGAGCACCACCTGTGCATATTCAGAGTTCCCTTTTAAAAAGGGCCCTGCTCATCTCCAATCTTCCCTCCCACCCCACCCCTGCTTCTTTGTCTCTCTGTATCTCCTTCTCTCTCCCTTTCTGTCACTCCTGTTCCCAGAGGTCTCCCCTTTCCACTCCCTGCTTTTCCCATTCACTTTCCCCCAGTAAAAAAAAAACCCATCCAAGCTCTGTCCCATGGAGTCTTTCTCTCTTGTGCCAATTTTTAAAATTACAACAATCATGGCATGCATGCACCTGGCATGCATGCACCTGGCATGCATGCACCCACAGTTCTACACCACATAACACACACAGATGAAATGAATAAAAATGTGTTGTGGGGTGTCCACCTGAGAAGAATACATAGGTTTAAACCAATAGACAGTCTTTATTAGCCAGCTGGTGACTACACTATGTATTCAGGGTCCCAGTGTAGTCCTGAGACTTTCTCAGGTTGAGTTTTTAAGCACAAAAAACATATCCTAGGTTGACATACTTCAGTGAAAAAGAGCGGTTAGCCAAAAGAACTACAGAGGCCAAAAAATAAGGTTATACATTTAGAGACTTTCCCAGAACTATGGACTTGGATAGATTACATCTTTCTTTACGTTTTTTTGGCAGGTGGTACTGTCTACATGCTGAGTATTATGGCCTGAATGGCGCTTCCATCATGGAGTCAGTTGTGCTAAAATCTGGGAGCCCATGAAAGTCTGGGGCCTGTTACAAATGTAATAAAAATGGTACAATTGGATCAAATAACATGATTGCCTTTGACTAAATGATTTTCTTTTCCAAAAGACTGCAATCTCACTGATGCTGTTTTGTTACTCTTGTTAATTTTTGTTACATTATAAGCAAGTTATACTTATAACTTGTTTTGGAGGAAATGGCTCACACCTTTAATCCCAGCACTCGGGAGGCAGAGGCAGGCAGATCTCTGTGACTTTGAGGCCAGCCTGGTCTACAGAGCGAGTTCCAGGACAACCTCCAAAGCAATACAGAGAAACCCTGTCTCAAAACCGCCCCCCTCAAAAAAAAAGGCAAGGAATTTTTCAACCCTGTATATTTATTTGCTTATCCTTTGTGTGCTTGTCGGCAAATACACCATGATGCACATGTTTAGTGCAAAGGACAGCTTATAGGAATCCGTTTTCTTTCACTCTGTATGGTTCCTAAGGCTTGAACTCAGGCCCTGGGGCTTGGCATCCAGCACCTCTAACCACTGAGCCATCTCACTGACCTCGGAGTTTTTCTTGAATATTTTTAGCAGTTGTTTATGATACAGGAAGAGATTTAGCAGTGAATTTTAAAAGTGAAAACCTAGTGCCCATGAGCATATTTTAAAGAGTTCTTCATTAACCTATTTTATAAATATTAATGAGGCTATGTGTTAAAAATAGCCTTATTTATTTTCAATTGATCTAATTTTGTTAGTAAAGTGTTACCATTCATACAACATAAAAATTAGGAATAAAGCAAGCCTAATATGGAAAAATTAAATCTCCCTGCTTTGCCTAACTTTCTCCCATTTTGTAATTCATTTCCATAAATAACTTATGGTGGTAGTTTCTGCTTTTAGTTTAATATATTTCTGCTCTTCAAGTATTATCAGATTCACATAGAATCAATTGAGTTTCTTCTATGAACACTTAAGGTTTAATTATGATTTATCATCCCTCCACCTCTGGATGCTTATTTATTTATTCATTTATTTATTTATTTATTTATTTTTGAAGCAGAGTTTCACCATGTAGCCTGAGCTACCCTGGAGTTCATGAGCCCTCCTGCTTCTCTCTTTTGAATGCTGGGAGTATAGGCATGCACTACAGTGCCCACCTCCTCTGTGGTTTTATTACTGGTATTTTTATTTATTTTTATAAGTATTCTAATAGTTTCTTCATTGGCTTTAAATAATGTCTTAAGAGTTCTCTAGAGGAAGAGAATTGATAGAATAAACGTGTGTGTGTGTGTGTGTGTGTGTGTGTGTGTGTGTGTGTGTGTGTGTGTAATTATTCAAATGGCTTACAGGCTATATTCCAGCTAGTCCAACAATGACCGTCTACAACAGAAGGTCCAAGAATCATTGTTCAGTTCATGAGCCTGGATGTCTCAGCTGGTCTTCAGTACACGTCAGAAAACCAAATCTAAATAGGCTCTAATGCTAGTGAAGGAATGGACTTGCCAGTGAGAGTGAGGGCAAGCTTCCTTCTTCCACGTCTGTTATATAGGCTGCCAGCAGGTGTGGTCCAGATTAAAGGTGGATCTTACCATTTTTCTCAGCTATGGTTTGCATTACTATGATTAAAGTAACTGAGAACAAGTAAAGCTGGGAAAGATCTCTGGCTCAGTATGGAATGTTCAGCCTATGGTGACTTGACCCCATGCACTTGAGCAGCATATCACTGGAGGAGAATGTGCCGTGTCATGAGTGTGTATGTTTTTGGGAATGTGTCATGTCTGGAGTGTCTAATGAAGTCAATTCTTCACCTCACATTAGATAGGAAGCAGGGAGAAAATGTAATATAAAATGAGGCTGGTGCAAGATCTAGCCACCAAGACACACATACAGTGACCCATTTCTCCCAACTAGGCCCTCTCTCCTGCCTTTCACTGTGATAGTGCATCTATATAGTGAATCCTTTCAGGGATTAGAATTAATCCATTAGTGAGATCAGAGTCTTTGGGATCTAATTGTTTCTGGAAACTCCTTCACATATTTAACTGTGTTTCACTGATCCCCTAGGCATGCTTCCTATCTTTTTTCTTTTCTCTTATATCACATTTGTATATTTAACTTTTGTGAGTGTGTATTTGCATGGATATGTGTGTGTGTGGCTGTGTGGCTGCATGCATGTGCAGGTCAGAGAACAACCTCCAGGAATTAGTTCATGTCTTCTTTCATGGAGGATCTGGGGATTCAACTTAGTTCATCAGGCTTGGTAGCAGGCACCTTTACCCCTAGAGCCATCTTGCCAATTCTAGGCCCTAGGAATTATTTCTTTCTTTATATTCTCTTTTTTCCTTCCTTTCTTCCTTTCTTTCTTCCTTCCTTCCTTCCTTCCTTCCTTCCTTCCTTCCCTCCTTCCTTCTTTTTCTTTTTCTTTTTCTTTTTTTTTATTTTGGACAAGGTCTCACTCTTTAATTCTGTATCTCAAGCTGGTCTAAAACTCACTGTGTAGCCCAGGCTGGCTCTGAATTCTTTGGCAACCCTCCTCCCTCAGCCTTTTGACTCCTTAAAAAAAAAAAGGTGCCTTAATGTAGTTAGGTTTGCAATGAGGATTAACCACCACAGTTATATCACCATGTGTCTGAATAATATTTTATGGTATTAGTTCATATTTATTTTAATTTAACTTATATTTCCCTTTACTATTTCACCATTCAAGAAAATACCAAGCTTCAAGCTTCAAGGTGTAATTCAGGGATAAAAATATGGTTAGCTGGTAAAATATTGTTTGCTGCTAATCTAACTCAATGAGAAGTTCAGGGTTTGAGGGTAGCCCCGTGGCAACAGAGGCAGGAGGTGTGCAGGGGCATCTCTGTAGAGATTAGGTAAAGGTTGAGGTGGTGGCCAAGCTGTGTATTCTCCTCAGATACTGCTCCATCTTGGCATCCTGAGGCAAGGGCAAGCCTCAGAAGAGCAAGAGGTAGAAAATACCTGGGAACCTTCTTTCTGACTTTACAGGCTTTCTGACTTCTGCTAAGATTTATGCCACTCACTGGGCCCCAGAGGAAGGAATGGAGCCCTGTGGGCATTTATGGAAACTCTTGGGTATCTAACTGCAAAGATTACTCATGGAGGAAGGAAGGGTCTCCCTACTCTCTGGTGCTTTGACAGCTGTGTGCCCTGACCAGACCCTGAGAGATCAAGGAAATCCCAGACCATCTGTGGTTCATTTCTTACTTAGCAGTACTCAAGGAACTGGAAAAGAAAGGGAGATTATCCCAGAAGCAGGCTTTGTTATACTTTTTAATACATTTATTTTATTATTTTGGTGTGGGGATGTGTGTCTGTTTTGTGTGGAGGTCAGAATGGATTCTCTCTTTCCAACATGTGGGTCCCAGGGAGAGAATCAAGGTCCTTGTGCTTGGTGTGCAAGTGCTCTATCTTGCTGAGCCATCTCACTGGCCCCAGAAGCAGGCTTCTAAGTTGAAACGTAGAAAAAAAAAAGGTGGTATTTCTCACAGTTCCGTTTATTGATTAAAAATTTTACCCTGCTACATAAGTTTTCAATTGTCAAGGTTTATGTCATATATGTACTATTCTTTAACTATTAAATCTTCTGTGTTTTGACTCAAAATTAAACCAGGGCTGGGGGGCCAGTGGTTTAGAGAGCACTTGTTGCTTCTTCTGAGGACTCAGGTTCAATTCCCAGCACCCACGTGGTGTCTCACAGCCAACGGTGGCACTAGTTCTAGGGGATCCAACACCCTCTTCTGATCGCTGTGTATCCTAGGCTTGCACATGGTGATATGGTGCATATATACATATTCTATGTATAAAAATATATGTATGTGGCCAAAACATTCACACATATAATTTTTAAAATTAATTAATTATATTAAATAAATAGTACTTACTGGCTGAGCATGTACTAAGCCCTGGGTCCTGTCCCTCCTCCAAACACAAACACTTACAATGAATACTATCCCTATGTAGACAGTCTTCACAGGCAATGTGAATTATGCTAAGAATATATAGTAAACTAGGGACTGGAGAGATGGCTCAATGATTAAGGGCACTTGTTGCTCTTGCAGAGGACCTAGGTTCAGTTCCCAGGACCCATATGATATCTCACAACCATCCATAACTCCAGTCCAGGGAGACAAGTATGCATGGTGTCCACATACATACACAGAAGCCAGACACTCATATACATGTATATTTCAAAAATCTAAACAAGTTAAAACAATAGGATGCACATATAGTATTGTAATTACATAAGTATAATCCTCTCTAAGTCAAATAGTATGATTTGAACTACTTTAGAAGAAAAAAAGTCTAAGAATTTTCCATTTCATTTCTTAAATTTCTGGTTACACTTAATTGCCATTATTGTGTAACCTTGTAGCTTAGGCTCCTTCTTTGTTGGCCAACTTCCTTGAATAATTTTTCTATGGAAGGAGTGAATGTTAAACTTGCTTTTTTTTTACTTCCCAAACTATTTTGTTTTGGTTCAATGCTTCATTAATAATAATGCTGAGTTAAAAATATTTTCCTTAGACTGTCAAAGCTATTATTCTACTTTATTCTCCATTGTTACCTATTTTTCATCTATTTGCACTAACATGGATGAAGAGAGTAGAACTGAAGCCTCCATTTCTGTTCAGAGCCTTAGACTCTGTTAGAACTTCTGTTTTATGAATGTTCATGCTATGCTATTTGGTGCACAACTGTAGCTTCATTGTGAGTTTTTTCTTTTAACATTACAAGATACCTTGTTTAGTATTTTTTAAACATTTATTTAGTGTGTGTGTGTGTGTGTGTGTGTGTGTGTGTGTGTGTGTATACTATGGTATACACATGTGTGGAAGTCAGAGGACATCTTGTGGAAGTCAGTTTTCTACTTCCAACTTGTGGATTTGGGGAATTGAACTCAGGTCATCAGGCTTAGTGACAGGTATATTTACCCATTTACCCAGAGCTATCCCACTGTCCCTTGTTTAGTGTTTTGTTTGTTTGTTTGTTTTTGGTCCAAATCTTGAAGTTGTTGCCAATCAGACTTTGAATTTCCTCCCTGGCCCCAATTCTCTCACCA